GTTTCCGTGAGGCTGGTCTCCGGTCACGGAGGGTATGTATTCGCATCCCACTGACCAACATTACAACAAAGGCACGTTTGGATTCGGCTAAAGATCAAGTTAAGTGGACAGACCAGGATTTTTAACTGATGAATCAAGATACTGTCAAGATTTCTCAGATCGCCGTGCCCGAGTGCTGCGTAGACAAGGAGAACAATTTCAGGATTCCGATGTAGCCGCTATAGAGGGGACTGAATCATGATTTTGGGTTGGATAAGAGGAGTTGAAGAACTTGTCTCCATGTCCTACAGCTGGGCACGACGACTACAGGGATGACAGGTAAGCCCGTATGCTGGTGTAATCGGACCGAACTTCCTCATCATGGACGATAACGCACGACCTCATCCTACCAGAGTTGCTGATGCCTTCTTAGAGCAGGAGATGACTGTCCGCATGGAGTGACCAGCCCCGTCATCAGACCTCCATCCTGTCGAACACTTGTGGAACGAGCTGCAGATCTCCCTCTCATCACGCCCTGTCAGCAACGTCTTATCTGAAGAGTGGAACCAACTTCCCTTGGCAACCATCCAGACACTTCGTGACCTGACAACCAGGTTGTTCTAACTCCATAAATACAACTTTCGAGTTACAACTATTTAAAATTTGTTATGTTTGTATTTTTAGTTGATGTTGTTCCATCTTCACTGTATTTGGTACAAACATTTATACATGTATTATCAAGTCACAAGTACATGTTAAGTATCGTTTATCATGAAACGTAGGTGCCAGGCTGTGAACGCATCATGTGGATTACACACGCACTGCTGAGAGTTTTTTCTTTTTTAGACAATGAATGTTTTCCGTGATTTTTTGACGTTTCAGTTTTTGTCAGATGCTTTCATTTTGACGGCTGATCTGGCTGAGTATGGCTACATGTTGTTTGTTGGCACATGACATCTGACTTCACTTCATTAAACGTGTCTTCACCCACAATTGTCTATTTCAACAAATGCAATCGTTTGATCTTTTCGAAATGCCCCTACTGTAGCGTTTCTTGATATCCGATAATGATTCAGTTCCAGGCGATTTAAATAATCATAAATATTGTTGAACACTCTCATATCAATAATGGAACCTGGGTCAATGACAATGATGTGTACCAATTTTGAACAATCGATTGCTATCTGATTAGTATTTATTTATATGATATATAAAATATGCACCTAATTTCACTTTTGCGTTACTTCTTTTGCAGAGTATATATATTTTAGTTTGCTTATTGTTTAACGCCGAACACAGCTATATTCCAGCTATATAATCAAGTCTACACCAGACAATCCACTGATTGACATCATGATCATCGATCCACGCAATTGGGATTGATGACATGCATCAACCAAGTCAGCGAGCCTGACCAATCGATCCCGTTAGTCGCCTTTTACGACAAGCATAGTCGCCTTTTACGGAAAGTATGGCTTGCTGAAGACCTATTCTACCCCGGATCTTCACGGGTCATATATATTTTAAGATGACAGTTCATATACCATGTTTGCCCAATATCAGCATGCCAACTGTGACATGCCAGCTTTCAACAAATGCACCCAATTTGACGTATTACCTTTAAACGTGGTGATCCTTAGCAGACTTTGAGTAGTACATATCAGTTTAACGCTTAATGCACTAAACCGTTCAGTTTTGTTTTTAATATTCTTCCTTAGAGGGTAGCTATCATCTTCTGCGTCTGCTTGTCTTTATTTATTCAGATCCCCAAAACATATTTTTATAAATGTACTCTTTTCGTTTGATCTTTTCGAAATGCCCCTACTGTAGCGTCTCTTGATATCCGATAATGATTCAGTTCCAGGCGATTTAAATAATCATAAATATTGTTGAACACTCTCATATCAATAAACATTTAAAAAACAATAAACTTAGGGTTATTTCAGACACATATTTTGTGTGAAAAGAAGTTGATGGCAATACTTTCTATATGTGCATATTTCAATACCCGAGGGTGAAAGACAGAACAGCTGACAGGTCTACAGTAACATTGTCAGAAAATGTTACTAAATCATGAAATTATCGCCTACCTTGTGCCAATCACATATTTCAATCCACGTTAAACAATTGCATGTTGAGCAGATTTCTAGGTCAAACGGCATGCTCTCTCACACAACTGTGTCTCTGGTCGGCAGACACACAATCCTAACGATGCCGATCTGTGATTACTTGTATAAATGAAATTGAATCTGTTAAGTTGTCATTGATCCTAAGTTTAACAATACCGGTACCTCTTTCTGCAAAAAAAGAAACGCCATAGCAGTAAAATCGAAAATATTTGACAGAGTGTTGCCGACATCCATACAAAGTTTAATACCAAAAATATATCGGTCATTTCTGCATGGATTTGGATTGTTTTATGTTGTAAGAATGAGGTACTGCAGACATTTGGTGAAAAGATGGAAATATCGCAAAAATACAACCACGTAAGTGGCTGGCGTCGAAACACACCAACATGACATGCACGTGCGACGTGACTTGTAGGGTTATATAAACTTTGGGTCTTATTTGCAAGCCATCACAATCTTACAACAGGTGAACAGCGAACACATGCCACGACTGACGGAAACCAAACGAAACAACGCCATCGGCCGACTGCAAACAGGAGAATCATCATCAGCTGTAGCCTGGTTTGTCCACGTAGTACCAAGCACCATTACAAGACTGTGGAACCATTATCAGACACACGGGACATCACGGGACTGTCCAAGATCCGGTCGACCACGTATCACTACTAGACACAGGACAGGACAGCTTCGTACGGTTACGTCACTTACGTGAAAGAAGCACCACGGCCACCTCTACAGCTACGGCAATATCACAACTGCGACGGATATCAGCCAAGACAGTGAGGAACCGTTTGCGCGCTGAAGGTATTAGCGCTAGACGACCAGTTCGAGGTGTCATTTTGACTGACCTGCATCGTCGGCTAGGACGTCGATGGTGTCAAGGTAGAATATGGCCACAACTGCGATGGAGACAAGTTTCGTTAAGTGACGAGTCACGCTTTACGTTTGCCGTGCGGATGGTAGATGTCGTGTTTACAGGCGTCGCGGGAAACGTTATGCACGGGACAGCATAAAGAAAGTGGACAGATTTGGTGGCGGTAGTGTGATGATATGGGCGGCCATCTCCTACACTGGTAGAACAGACTTGGTGAAAATTCTGAAGAATTTAACGGCACAATGTTACACGGATGAGATTCTTCGGCCACACATTCTTTCCATTATGCGACAAGCGAACGTCATTTTCCAACAAGACAACGCCCGACCTCACACGGCAAGACTGACAACAGCCTGTTTCAGGAATCACAACATCCAGGTCCTGCCATGGCCCTCCACGTCTCCAGACTTAAACGCAATCGAACATTTATGGGACGCGCTGGATCAACGACTGCGAGCACGTCAGCAACAACCACAGAACCTCTAACAGTTGGCACAAGCACTGCAGGCATTCCCCAGGCCACAATTCGGGGTCTGACTTACTTCAGCGGGACGACGATGCCATTCAGTTTTGTACTCTAATGGTGGCCATACAAGACATTGAGAACAGATGACCTTCATCTGGGAAATCTACTGTTCCGTGTGTGCTGGATGGAACCTGGGTCAATGACAATGATGTGTGCCAATTTTGAACAATCGATTGCTATCTGATTAGTATTTATTTATATGATATATACAATATGCACCTAATTTCACTTTTGTGTTACTTCTTTTGCAGAGTATATATATTTTAGTTTGTTTATTGTTTAACGCCGATTTATTGTTATATTCCAGCTATATAATCGAGTCTGCACCAGACAATCCACTGATTGACATCATGATCATCGATCCACGCAATTGGGATACTATGACATGCATCAACCAAGTCATCGAGTCTGATCACCCGATCCCGTTAGTCGCCTTTTACGACAAGCATAGTCGTCTTTTACGAAAAGTATGGCTTGCTGAAGACCTATTCTACCCCGGATCTTCACGGGTCATATATATTTTAAGATGACAGTTCATATACCATGTTTGCCCTATATCAGCATGCCAACTGTGACATGCCAGCATTCATCCAACATCGGCCCCATGTCAGTGTGTTTGGGGGGAGATGGACCCAGGACTGGCAACTCAAGTACACACGTCCCATCGTTTTTTATGTCAATGTCGGACAAGAGTACCCGTGAATGTGAGTGTGTGTCTGTCACATGACAAGGGCACGTAGACACACGTGTGGAGCATCATTTACTCACGCTATCGCCACTTGTTCATCCTGAATATCTGATGGCACTTGTATTTAAACAACTCACAGCTCCACGGTCAAGTGCTAGACGGCAACGGCAAACCGAAACAGTAAGGCGAAGCCACTCAAAAAACAAAACAAAAATCAATCATAACACCAAAAGAATTGACAGAGTAATAACCAAACTATGAACAGGCCACACTAAGTTAAACTCCCACCTACATCAAATTAAAAAACACCAAACCGGTAACTGTCCCCACTGCAACTCCTGAACACGTTATACTATACATACGTAATAATACGTAATACACATTACCAACAACACAGAACAACACTCCAATCCACACTAAACTGCAACAATCAAATGACATTAGCAACGCTACTAAACCCCCTAAATGACCACACCCGACGTGCTAAATTCATTTGCCACCCTGATGCCCTCAAAAGTAGACTGGACCACCTCAAGACAACCTTCACGTCCCTCAACAGTTACCCTTCCCACCTCTAGTCTCCAAAACCACCCGCAAGACCCTCGCTCAAGAACCATCAGAATCACCATACCCTACCAAGGCCCTGTCAGATTGCCCGCCTCATCAAGAACAAAGGCAACATAGATGTCCCCTTTTCTAGCGGCAAGTCCATCAAGACCCATCTACAAGCCAATGACAGAGGCACAAGCTGTGTAAGTCCCAACCCCCGAGGATGTATACTGCGGCCACCAGTACATTGGGGAAATGTTCAGGCCCCTCAACACCAGACTCAAAGAACAGCAGACCTCGGTCAACAAACTCGACATGAAATCCGCTATTTCCGAACATATCCTGAAGAACCAAGACCACAACATCATGTGGGAAGCCACCAAAGGCCTGTCTACCAACAACAACAACTGGTGGCAAAGGAAACTACCTTTATACTTCACACAATATCTATTCCCGAGTGATAGTACCTCGTCTGAGTCACTCGGCACCCCCTCCCTCTGCATACAGACAGCTCCAGCACGGGCGTCAGGCACATCTACCAGCTCCAGGCCAATACCCGGACACCCTAGTTTTGTCAAGCAGGATTCAATGACCTGTGTTACGTGGAGATATTTGCGTCGGTGGGCCGGAATGTTTGCTGAGGAAAATTACGTTTTTTCCTCACAATGAAATAAGTTTACTTAGCTGGCGATCCTTTAATGTCCAAGGACAAAAAAACCATCAGCTATTCAGGATCAGTGCGTGGTATGCCAGTAGAGGTCAAGGTTACAGCCTGACCTTCGGTTCAGTTCTTTTGGTGTCAACTTAACCTTCAAATGCTGTCTTGAAATAGACCGCCTGAGTCTGTTGTAGATCCTGCTCTACTTACGCCAGGACAACTGGAGAAGATGGGGAACAGTTGTGTTGTCGATGATGGAACGTACAGTTCAGGGTTTTTTAAGGGGCAGCTGATACGACAACGCTTGTATAAACTGTATCTGATATTGTCATAAAGTAATGAATGAATGCTGTTCAATAATAATAAGAATAGTAAGAGAAAAGTACCAATCGGAACTATTAAATAGGGTTAGACTTTCATCTTGAACACATCAGTCATATTACATCTCTCGTAACCTTCACGATTGTCCATTAGTTTTCGTGGTCGGAGTGTATTGCGCATCAGTTGCCTCTCCACCGCTACCAATAACCTTTTAAAACCGGATGTCGTGTACCTATTTCAGGATTTGGACAAACTCAGCGAATACTGTTCTAGTTGTATTTTCCAATTTAACGAGTATTACGCAAATTTGGCAAATTTACAACACTGATACATTTTCGTACACAATATATAAAACAAGGTTGAATGCAATCACTGAAACACTGCAAATCCAAGGTCCAAGAGAGAGAGAGAGAGAGACCTCCAACCTGTTCCTCATGACCTCCAACCTGTGCCTCATGACCTCCAACCTGTTCCCTATGACCTCCCACCTATACCTTATGACCTCAAACCTGTTCCCTATGACCTCCCACCTATACCTTATGACCTCCAACCTGTTCCCTATGACCTCCAACCTGTTCCTGATGACCTCCCACCTATACCTTATGACCTCAAACCTGTTCCCTATGACCTCCCACCTATACCTTATGACCTCAAACCTGTTCCCTATGACCTCCCATCTATACCTTATGACCTCCAACCTGTTCCCTATGACCTCCAACCTGTTCCTGATGACCTCCCAACTATACCTTATGACCTCATACCTGTTCCTTATGACCTTCAACTTGTTCCTGATGACCTCCCACCTATACCTTATGACCTTCAACCTGTTCCCTATGACCTCCAACCTGTTCCTCATGACCTCCAACCTGTTCCTCATGACCTCCAACCTGTGCCTCATGACCTCCAACCTGTGCCTCATGACCTCCAACCTGTGCCTCATGACCTCCAACCTGTGCTTCATGACCCTTCACGGTTCGTTACATGAACTGGACTCACTGACACTTCCCCGGAGAAGGAGGGGCGGTCGGGTAGCCTAGTGGTTAAAGCGGTCGCTCGTCACGCCGAAGACCCGGGTTCGATTCCCGACATGGGTACAACGTGTGGAGCCCATTTCTGGTGTCCCCGATGTGATAATGCTGGAACATTGCTAAAAGCGGCGTAAAACCATACTCACCCACTCACTTACTCCCCGGAGTCCCTCGAGCCCGCCAGAAACCTATGATTGTGGGTTCGAATCCCGGTTCCCCCGATCATGTTTCTAGGGTTGTCAGCACCATACCCGTGCTCGTGGGTTTCACCGAAGTGGTAAACGTCAGAGACCTGCATCGCTTCGGACTTTCCTCCCACATTAAGCTGAACCGCCGTGATATAACTGGAATACTGTTAAAAGCGGCGTTAAACCCAACTCACTCACTCCCTGGAGAAGGTCGTCAATGTGAGTCTCCCCTAGACATCGCGATCGGCTGCCAGCTACAAGTAGCATCTCCGTCTTGTCAATCTAATTAGTCGCCCTAGGGGGATAGTGATTAAGGCAAGTTTATCAAATGCTCTCAGGAACCAGTCAACTGAAATAACACGATTCGCAACTCAATTTGCCAATGTTTCTAGAACTTTTTTTTTCCTGCGATTAGTGCATGTGTACTGCGCATTCCCGGTTCACATGAACTGTTAGCCGTGGAGATTACAAGAGCGAGCTGCGAATGTTATATTTACCCCACATTCTATTGATTCCTGCACACGTCAACAAGTTATCCGAGGGAGTAATGCCACTGATGTTGCATACGGGGATGGGGGATGTGGGTTGAATAAATGAACAATAACAAAGCTAGAAATCGAATTAATGACGTATGTTTTATGACGTAATGTAAATGCCCCAAAAGCAGCTTAGAAATTGGCACTAGTCCTGTAGTCCTTGCCAAGCTGCCCAATAGTTAAGGTTTCCTAAAGACTTGTAGAAATTTGCCACTTATAGGAGTTTTGCTATACGTCATCAATATAAAAGTGAGTGAGTGAGTGAGTGTGGTTTTACGCCGCTTTTAGCAACATTCCAGCAATATCACGGCGGGGGACACCAGAAATGGGCTTCACACATTGTACCCATGTCGGGAATCGAACCCAGGTCTTCAGCGTGACGAGCGAACGCTTGAACCACCAGGCTACCCGACCGCCGCTTATCAATATAAGAACAAGTGGGCTGAAACTGTTAGTTTCCAACGTTGTCCCTATTTCGTTTAACGAACCGGACCTCGTTGTATTGAATTAGCGACATATTTTAGTATATGAGGAATGTTTGGACATTGAAATTATCAAAAACGTCGGGTACACAGTATTGAAAAAATAATACACACTGTCACTGCCGTTGATGCTGAGTTGATATGATTGAAATCACAGGACACTCGGGGGGATTCCCCATAGTCTAGAAGATAACTGACACACGGCAATAAGAAAATAATTCTGTTTTGGAGATGTTCGTGGAGAGAATATGAAAGGTTCGACAGTGGAAACACGGCTTGCTTATACAACGGAACCCCGTTTATCCGGAAACCCCGCATTCCGGACATCGTCTGTTCTGGGGGCGACATCGCGTGTAAGGAAGAGTACAAATAACCATTATTTTTTATCCGGACAACTGTTATTCATACCCCGGCATTACGGGGTTTTCGGGTACTGGTTGCTGCTGATGAAGTCAGTTTGTTTTCAGGGTTTTTCACAAGGTACGAGCAGCAGCAGCAGCCGCGGGGAGAGGGGGGATGGAACGGGAGATTCTGTGCGTAGGATGGTGGTCCAAGCTGTACTTGGTAATCAGAAGAATATTTCAAATGATTTCGTGGATAATACATCTTTAATCGTATAACCTAGCAGGAGTGTTATTCCGTGCTGTGGGTTGCGTCTAGGTAACCGTGATATTACTCTGCTACTGCTCACACACTCACTCACTCACACACTCAACCACCCACTCACTCACTCACTCACTCACTCACTCACAGCACATAGTGAAACTTCAGTCCTCGCCTGGATCTGTTTAACTATTATCAAGATGTTTGTTAATAAGGTGGTCTTTCAACCAATATAAGCAGGACATATGTATTCATACACGTTTGTCAACCGCACATCAGCTCAAACCACCCGTAATAACCCTAGCGAGATACATGCAGTTAAGTATTAGTATAAGTATTAAATATTGGGTTAGTATTAGTATCAGGTTAGTATGAGTATTAGGTAAGTATTAGTATTAGGTTAGTATGAGTATTATCAGTAATACGGTTAGATAATTAGTAAGTTAGTCGAATGTATGCAAATATTATTGTTTTCTTTTTGTAATAAATAATATTTTGTTATTCTCTTTTTGGGTTCTGTCATTCCTGTTCCCCAGTGCGTAGCGTGTGTCACATATCTTGTTCCATGTGAACCCGAGATCGATTGGATGACGGTGTCGTCGAATATGGGCCAAAGTGAAGAGAGATGGTTTGTGACAATGCTTCTCTGCCGGGTCTTGAGATGGCTTGTGACAATGCTTCTCTGCCGGGTCTTGAGATGGCTTGTGACAATGCTTCTCTGCCGGGTCTTGAGATGGCTTGTGACAATGCTTCTCTGTCGGGTCTTGAGATGGCTTGTGACAATGCTTCTCTGCCGGGTCTTGGATTGAAGACCCTGCTGCCTGTTGTGTGACATATAGCGTTCCTCTTGCTGAGACGCGCGCAAACCAGATAAGCTAAGGCCGCCAGGAAGCCAGCTAAACGAGATGGCATGTGATAAGTTCTGAGTACTGGTAAACACGTTATGATTTCCGTCACAACCAGGTTCCTGTTCATATTTAGTGTTCGTGTTGAGACAGTATATGTGTAATCAGCTTAAATAATTATAATACCGTGTTAGAATTCTTCGTGGACATTGGGCAACATGCTTCTCTCTCTCTCTCTCTCTCTCTCTCTCTCTCTCTCTCTCTCTCTCTCTCTCTCTCTCTCTCTCTCTCTTTGTGAAAATCAAAATCATTGAGGCGCTAAAGGAAAAACAATTGTACCATTTATTACATGCATTATGAGTTATGAAATCATAGCATTTTTTCGGATAGTGATTGCGCTAGCGTGTACGCCACATCCTCCACTTAACACAACTTTCGTTTTGACTGAATCTTATAACTGGATACATCCATGAAGCGCCCTACTGACGATTGACTTCCAATATCGCGATGTCTCGATAGATTTGAGGAGAGTGTCCTCTTACATTGGAGCTGATGAGGATGAGAGCTGGATTGTAAATACTAAGTACTTCTGTACCCACAAAAGTCTGGACAAGTATGTCTGATCTGACAAGCGTTATATATTAAATGCCGTCGACACAATCAGTCTACCATCGCTTTCATTTTTGGGGGGCGGAGTCGGCCATACCTCAGACAAACTATCAAGTGACTCTAACAGGTCATTGATCAACATTACAACAGAGCATGAGACACAACGAAGAGAGCATGAGACACAAGAGAGCATTGAACACAACAGAGCATGAGACTCAAGAGAGAAGGATACAAAACATACCTCAGACAAACTATCAAGTGACTCTAACAGGTCATTGATCAACATTACAACAGAGGACGAGACACAACGAAGAAAGCACGAGACACAAGAGAGCGTGGAACACAACAGAGCCTGAGACACAACAAAGCATGATACATTACAGAGCATGATGCATTACAGAGCATGATACATTACAGAGCATGAGACACAAGAGAGCATGATACATTACAGAGCATGACACACAACAGAGCATGATACATTACAGAGCATGATACATTACAGAGCATGAGACACAACAGAGCATGAGACAAAACAAAGCATAAGAAACAGCAGAGCATGAGACACAACAGAGCATGAGATACCACAGGGCATGAGATACCACAGAGCAGGAGACACCACAGAGCATGAGACACCACAGAGCACAAGATACCACAGAGCATGAGACACCACAGAGCATAAGACACCACAGAGCATGAGACACCACAGGGCATGAGACACAACAGGGCATGAGACACCACAGAGCATGAGACACCACAGAGCATAAGACACAACAGATCATGAGACACAACAGAGCATGAGACACCACAGAGCATGAGACACCACAGAGCATGAGACACAACAGAGCATGAGACACCACAGAGCATGAGACACCACAGGGCATGAAATACCACAGGGCATGAGACACCACAGAGCATGAGACACCACAGATCATAAGACAACACAGATCATGAGACACAACAGAGCATGAGACACCACAGAGCATGAGACACCACAGAGCATGAGACACTACAGAGCATGAGACACCACAGGGCATGAGACACCACAGAGCATGAGACACCACAGGGCATGAGACACCACAGAGCATGAGACACCACAGAGCATGAGACACCACAGAGCATGAGATACAACAGGGCAAGAGACACCACAGGGCATGGAACACAAAAGAGAAAGATACAGAACAGAGCATGAGACAAAACAGGCATGACATACAACATCACAAGATACAAAAGAACCTATGATCGATAAATACCATTCATTTCGTAACAATCTCATAAAATACAACCGAATGCTCTTCCTTGTAAACAACGTGGATCGCCGACAGCTGAGCTGTTCTAGATGAGATTCATACAATGAAACATTTGACATTCAACAACGGCAAAGGTCATGTGACCCACCACAGTTCACATCATGTTGAAATAGCCTCCTTCATTGCAGTTTCAGCGTATTTTTCTATGATCTCATTGAAGTGCGTGAAACTTGAAACTGCGACAATAACACAATTTCAGTCAGGGAAACATTTTGTTTATATAAGTGCTTCAAGATCCATTCGGTTGTCGCCATGACTTTCTGCATGTACGCAGACAGCAGAGATGAAGACAGTTTTCTCCGAGATATGCGTTTTGTGCGTCGCGTGTTCGGGGGGTGGGGCGCTTTGTAGAAGGGTGTGCATGGAGGGTGGGGGGAAGGGGTTGTGGAGACGACTGGGTATGGGGCGCGTTGGGGACGGGGTGTGCAGGGAGGGGGTGGGGGCGGGGGGAGGAGTTGTGAGTCGTGTGTTTGGGGGTGGAGACAACTGACGATTGGGCGCTTTTGGGACGGTTGCGCAGGGAGGGGTAGGGGAAGGGGTTGTGAAGACAACTGACTATGGGGCGTGGACTATGGACTTGTGTGTCCAGGATCGGACTAGTCCCAACCGTGAGGTGTGTTCAGGGTGGCTGTGTTCTGTCAGGGTCGGGCTCGTGGCAGTAGGCATGCCGAATGGCGGTAGGGTTGGCTGTAGCTATACCATAACCACCAACCAACAAACAAACAAATAAATCACCAAAGCTATTATTTTGGAGAAATGCATTAGATATCGATATCCATATGGGTTCAACAAAAAACTCTAACTTCTCCAAATTGTGCTGATTAAGTCTCCCTGCCCTATCGAATATCTCCTGACAACGTTAATTGATGCTGATGTTATTATTGTTGATGCTGGTGTTATTATTGTTGATGCTTCGGCAGAATCTGCGGCCTAGACAGCAAAGTGTGTCAATATATGTTACACTATCTCAGTGGACCTTGAGACAGATCGATAGCGTAATATGCCAACTGATGCCTTGGCTTAAACCAGTCGAGGAGCCGAGGGTGAGTGTTGATATCAACATACGCCAGGAATCTGTGGACTCCCATTCGGACTTCCATTCGGACTCCCTGTCGGACTCCCATTCGGACTCCCTGTCGGACTCCCTGTCGGACTCCCTGTCGGACTCCCATTCGGACTCTCATTCGGTCTCCCTGTCGGACTCCCTGTCGGAATCCCTGTCGGACTCCCTGTCGGACTCCCATACGGACTCCCTGTCGGACTCCCTGTCGGACTCCCATACGGACTCCCTGTCGGACTCCCTGTCGGACTCCCATACGGACTCCCTGTCGGACTCCCATTCGGACTCCCTGTCGGACTCCCTGTCGGACTCCCTGTCGGACTCCCTGTCGGACTCTCATTCGGACTCCCTGTCGGACTCCCTGTCGGACTCCCTGTCGGACTCCCTGTCGGACTCTCATTCGGACTCCCATACGGACTCCCTGTCGGACTCCCATTCGGACTCCCTGTCGGACTCCCTGTCGGACTCCCTGTCGGACTCTCATTCGGACTCCCTGTCGGACTCCCTGTCGGACTCCCTGTCGGTTGGTATCATGATCTCAACAACATACCCTGATTTGACGTCATGACACTTAACATCGGACTGTTGTAGAAACATTTTGTTTGGAATTCGTTATCTGCGCCTCGTATTTCTTCTCTTTAATTTCCATCAGACAACGCTGTCCTGATAAGCTATGCTGTCACACATGACAGCCTTACATACTCTTGTATGTTACACGAATACCATTGGCGCTCTCGTATATATCTACCGTCTACATGTCGACAGAGATGCTTACATCCCCCTGTTCCGGCCACTAATGCTATTTGAAAACTTGAACAAATGAACAAATACCTCCCAGTTGTGTTGTGGGTTGAGTGTACCAGGAGTGTTGTGTTGTGGGTTGAGAGTACCAGGAGTGTTGTGTTGTGGGTTGAGTGTACCAGGAGCGTTGTGTTGTTGGTTGAGAGTACCAGGAGTGTTGTGTTGTGGGTTGAGTGTACCAGGAGTGTTGTGTTGTGGGTTGAGTGTACCAGGAGTGTTGTGTTGTGGGTTGAGTGTACCAGGAGTGTTGTGTAGTTGGTCGAGTGTACCAGGAGTGTTGTGTAGTGGGTTGAATGTACCAGGAGTGTTGTGTTGTGGGTTGAGTGTACCAGGAGTGTTGTGTTGTGGGTTGAGTGTACCAGGAGCGGTGTGTTACAGGTTGAGTGTACCAGGAGTGTTGTGTTGTGGGTAGAGTGTACCAGGAGTGTTGTGTTGTGGGTTGAGTGAACCAAGAGTGTTGTGTTGTGGGTTGAGAGTATCATGAGTGTTGTGTTGTGGGTTGAGTGTACCAGGAGTGTTTTACTGCAGGGGAGGAATGGGCGGTTGCCCACGCCTTTGTGACCCCATGCTGTGTCACGATAAGATATATCGCCGTCCTAACCTCGTGACCCAATGAAGAGAAACAGGATTAGGCTAGGCCAGGCAAAATACACATTTGTTGTTGAAATACAATAAACATTTGGTTTTGAAAATAAAACATACATTTGTTGTTGAAATACAATATACATTTGGTTTTGAAAATAAAACATTTAATCTTTTGTTAAAAATAAGACATGCATTTGTTTTTGAAAATAAAGCACATTTTTGGTTTAAAGTAAAACATACATTATCGATGAAAGTAGAACACATATTTATGGTCAAAGTTAAACATACACTCATGGTGAATGTAACATGCAAAGTTGTTTTTCTAAACAAATTACTATATGATCCGTTGAATGAGTGAATCTCCATCAAAAGTTTGATTTATATGTTGACGTGGATGTCGACGTGGATGTCGACGGGGAAATAAGCTCAGACTGGAGGCGAAGAATAAGACGAGTCGGCAGGCGTATCCTCCTCGCAGCAGTACATACAGGTGATGTCGGAATACAAGCCTGGCTGACAGTCTAGATGTAAACATTGCAATGGACAACACATACCACACGAATGCGCTATGGCGTTGTCGCCTCGATAAAGGCTATGTGGATGTTACTACCGTCCCGGGACAGGGGATATATATGGCTATAATGTCATGATATATGTTGAGGAATGAGTTGCAGTGTCAGTCAATACAAACTCCACTCTATACAGAACACACACACACACACACACACACACACACACACACACACACACATATATATGTATATATATATATATATATAACGCTATTGAGTCACTCTGTGAAACAACAATTCAATCTGACAGAAGAAAAACAAGGGAAACAATATGACTTAATGGTGACCTACTTTACACGACACGTAATGCTTTAAACGTACACTTTAATGTCGTTCTAAATCTGTTAAAAGAGTTGCGAAACGATTTTCTTTTTCTAAGCCTAAAGGATAGGTTGACAGGTAGTTGGCGCGACGCCGACATTGCCCACTTGAACACACAGGATAGCCGTCAGCCAACAATCCCCAGCTGATTTCAACTTACAGGTGTGTGCGAGGTCGGCCACAGGACCACCAAATTGTCAATATTGCGAAATACCAGCGCTGCACTTTGAAACTGAATACGCATATGACTCGCCCTTCAGATATTCGTCTCACCTCAGTGATTTTATTACACCTAAAAAACTGTGGGGGATTTTCTTTTTCCGCTTGAGTCAATATCGCACAGTTGTCTGACACTTTATACACTGAGTTTCATAATAGATAGAAAGATAGATAGAAAGATAGATAGATAGATAGATACATACATACATACATACATACATACATACATACATACATACATACATACATACATACATACATACATACATACATACATACATACATACATACATACATACATACATACATACATGTAGGTTTAGTCAAGTTCTGTCAAGAACTTTATAATTCAAGTGCGACATTAAATGAGTGACACCTTATGGAGGTGACATATGTGCTGCATATTTCAGGCCAATCCTGTATGTTTATTGTCGTTTGTTCAGGGGGAATTGATGTCAGCCTGTCCCTTACGCCGTATGAGATCTCTTTTGCTAAGTGTCACGTCCAACAAAGGGTTAATGAATGCCACAGGGTCGGTGTGACACGGGGGAGTGGCGTCTCCACGTGACACACACTATCAATGAGCAGGAGAAGCAGGGCAAAGACTGGCTTATATTTCTGATGGTCACGATGATGTCCTATTATAAAAGAACTGAATCAGATGATAAATCCTGTAAAGAATATTTCTAATCTTGATATATTGATGATGTAAACAAAGGTTATCTCAGAGTAACTGTATGGAGAATCCTACATTCCCTTGTGACGTTGAATAATTATTATGTACAGAGTAAAATAAAAAATGCAGCAAAGAGGGTTTGGGTGATCCTGGCACAGTCAGGCTGGTTAGGCTCATCATCAGCTCAGGGCCCTTGCCCCCTCTACACGCAGCCCAGACAGCGAATGGGACTTCTCTCAGGAAGCGCTGCCTAGTCAAACCAACTCAGAACATTTCGGAGAATGTGAAGACTCCCCAACACTGCAGCCGTCTGCATTACCCAGTTTGTCAGAAGGGCTGTATTCCTGGTAGCAAACCCGGGTGCTCTCCCAATGTCAGTCAACAGATTGGGAGGTACCAAACCTAAGGCACCGAGAACAATGGGGAGTCGGACAACTTGGTACTTGGGATGCAAGCGTGATATTTCGAAAGCGCGGTCTGTATATTTGCCATGTGTTTCCTCAATCTTGTCAATCACACTGGTGTCAAAAGGAAGAGAAAAATCAATGATATAAATGATTTCATTGGATTTATCAAAAAGGACAAGATCAGGTTTGTTGGCCTGGATATACCTGAGGCTTTATACGGGCCTATTCCAAAGGATTTTGTATTCATCATTTTCCATGACGCCCTCTACATATTCTGGGTCGTACCATGGATGGACCTCTGTGTCAAAACCACAAGCATTGCGAATACGGTAATAAAATGATCGAGCCACCATCATGTCGCCTAAGATACTGTGTCAGTGCCAAAGCTGGGCATCCACTGACAATGTGTTGGACAGTCTCATTAAATTCATTACATAATCTGCATTTCATATTCACATTTTGATGCAAAATCACACATTGACGGTTTCGAGTTGGAAGTGACTGTTCCTGAGCGGCAAACAGAAAGCCTTCTGTTTCACTTTTCAGGCCAGACGACTTCATCCAAGTGAAGGACTCTCATTAAATTCATTACATAATCTACATTTCATATTCACATTTTGATGCAAAATCACACATTGGCGGTTTCGAGTTGGTAGTGACTGGTCCTGAGCAGCAAACAGAAAGCCTTCTGTTTCACTTTTCAGGCCAGACGACTTCATCCAAGTGAAGGACTCTGCAGGATTGCTGATCTTCTCAACACACTGTACATAAACTCGATGCAGTGGTCGTTCAGAAGGCCTCTCCTCGAAAAACTGAGTCTGGGCCGACTTGATATGGCACTTCGCTTGGTTGACACTCATTTCTGTACCGTCCAGCAGTACAGAACCATCAACAAAATCAACACCGACATTGAGATTATGTCCCACATCCTTGGCTCGTTTTAGAAATCTGTGCAGTGCCTTGTTTTCATCGTGAGTCTTGACATGCTTCACAATAGGATCATCAGACAAATAAATGTTTGCAAAAGTGCACAAAACAATTCTATCATGAAGAGCCTCCACATTAATCAAACCACGCCCTCCCACCACAATTGGCAAATATAAGCGATTGAGGGAAGAGCGAGGGTGGTGGGATCTATTGTCTGACATGATTCTTGTGTGAGGGTGTCAATGCCCTGAATTTCTTGTTTCGTCCAATCAACAACACCAAAACAATATGAAAGGACGGGTACATCATAAGTATTTGTGGCTTTAACTTTATTGCGAGGGATCAGCACCGAACTCAAGATATTCTTTAGTCTACATTTGTACTCTGCCCGAAGTTTGACGCTGATGTGGGCATTCTGGAGTTTGTCCCTAATCTGCACCCCTAAGTACGTATAATGAAGAATGTTGCATTTGTCAAGTCCAAAGGACATGCCGATATCATTAGAAAAGCACTCGACAAGCAGAATCTGTTTGGGTTTTTTAAGGCAGATTCTCCATTGGCAATAAGTTCAAGGTCATCCATGTAAAGGAGGTGATTGAGGGGTGTTGGGGATCTGTGCTTAGGAGGTCCCGGGTGATAAACTTCCTCTTTGCTGAGCAAAAAGCTTAAAGGATTTAGTGACAATTATTATTATTATTATTATTATTATTATTATTATTATTATTATTATGGAGTATCCTGTGCTGCACCCTGACTACCCGTGCTATACACACCAGAGTGTATCCTGTCGTCTTGTTCTTAATAGACCAGTTTGTCAAAAGGCCAAAGAAAAATCAAAGGAATTGCCATAAACTGGCGGTCAGTTCCACGGAATCTAATTTGTTTAAACCTCAGCCAGATTCCAGACGCGTTTTCTTTCAGACGAAGAAGCTGTAAATCTGGAGGTTCCGTGTGTTCGTCATTCCAGTCACCTGGTACTGACGTCGTACCGACGTCGAACTGACGTCCCCAGCATGAAGTTGGACCTGGTCTAGACCTTGCCTTGCTGCTCAATTCAATC